TTTGTAAATTTTCAGTAATTTCTTTGACATTCCTAATACTTGATTGTAATACTTTGTATTGTATTTGATTTTACAATTTATATTGTAATCATATAATTTAGATTTTGTTCCCACAAATATTTTAAGTGTTTTCTTATTGAAATCACTGTAAACCTAACACCATGCTTAAAGGCATGATTACAGTGGGGCTCAAAGTTGAGTTTGAAAAATTCCGTACATTACTATTAACGATATTTTGATGATATTATTATGATGATGATTGTTGTGTAAATTAATCATATGTTGCTGGATTATTCATGATTTATTGTATTGCTTGATCACGCCCCTTTTTGCGCGTTTAAAGGGAATTTGTACTTAAAATCACGCTTAATAAGATAATTACTAATTTGATTTAGGCTTAATATGGCTTTATTTCAAGTGATCACCAATAATACATTTGATTGTGCATTAATAATCAACCAACGTAGGTTAAATATGCTTAGGGTTAATTTGATGTATGTATGTTGATCGGAAAGCGCACATGAATATCATAAGAATTAAGTAGAGGCCGATTTAGGGCGGGTTCAATCTCTTTTAGGTTGGATTCGTACCATCATCCCGGAACATCCAATCATGGTTCTGGACCACTATGGAGTTAGCAATCTTCGTGATTGTGAATGGGGTGTAACCTTCGCACCCGTGAACGATTTGCAAGTTCCTAAAACTTGTTGGCGACTCTTCTATCTTTAGCTTCCTTCCCTTGGAGCACTGCCATGCCTAAAAGTATAAACACAGTGGGGCTCAAAAGGTTGAGTTTTAAAAATTCCCTACACATACCAAGTGCTCTAACTTCTCTCTATTTTCTCTCTCTAAACTCCTTCGTTTTCCGGTTACTAACTTGACCTTCGGAGGCGAATATTTCGATAGTGGAATATTCGTTCTTTTGCAGGTGTCTACGGCCGTTTAAATGTATTGAAGACCTGTATCTTGAGATATCTCAAAAAATTCCAAAACATAATCGGTAAGAAAAAAAAATGAGATTTTATTTAAAAAAAAAGTAAACTTAAAGAAACAAATGTCTTGATTATGAGATATTTTTCCTTCTCACAAGAAATTTTTAATAATCAGTCTTAAACCTATAGGGCTACTTGTAGTCTAGTCATCTCTTCTTACAAGAATTTTTCTTTTTAGGTAATTTTAACACTTAATTTCTTTGTATAATAATTTTAGGTAATTTAACACTTTATTACTTCGTATATGACAATTTTCTTTCCTACTCGGAGTTTTTTGGTCGCAAATTATTGTGTGGCAACCATTATAGTTACAATTAATCACATAGTTAATTAACCTAATGTGTCTTTAATCGCTACTTGATTATGTGTAATCAAGGTGACGAGGTTAGTATCACTATATAATTATTATTATTACAATCTGGTTATTTATATAAATATATGTAAATCTGATATCATCACCTTAAATTAGTGGTTAAAAGATTGATTGCTATGATTAATAATCTAAATTGTGGTTCTCTGTCAAAAAACATAAATCTAAATTGTGGTTCACATAACAGATGACGCTCCTAAAGGTAAAAAATTCTAATCCCACTAATTTTTAAGTAACCTCAATTAATTTAAAATAAATAAGGTAAACCTAAATCGCATGATGGCACTAGTCTAGACTTTGGAGAATGACTCAAATAATCAATTCCTCAATTTCAAGTGGTCACTTTATTTTAACCACTATTATTGCTTCATATTTAACCATTTGTAATGCTTGTTTAACTTTTCCTGTTTCGAAAAGACCATTTTGATGAGCCTTTTTTTATTGAATGAAAATGGGAAGCGGATATCGTAGCATCAGTAAATTAGTGGCAATATTTGACAACAATTTTGAAGTAACAATTACCATTTTAAGGAAATCAAAATCTTACGAAAATTGTAAGTCGTTCATATAAGTCTCATCACATATAATAAAGTCTAGAAGTGTTTTATGTTAGTATCAATTAGTAATAGATGAAATATCGTTAGACTTGTATAAACATTGTACCATCTACTTAAGCTTACAAATTAAATTACGACAATCTAATCTTATACAAAAAGTAATTATTACGAGTATTAAATTCTAATTAAATTAAACTTATGGCTCATAATTCACAACCTTCATCTGCATAGTTACCTACATCCACCTAAATCCCTTGTTCCTAGTGAACACATACCTTTTATAATACATCCCTTTGTTCCTATTTTTTTGTCCTATTTGACTGTGCACGGTCTCCAAGACGTGTATTAAAACGTCTATATCTTTATTTTCATACACATAAAAATTAAAAGCGTGATGTTAATAAAATATACAATGAAACGAATCTAACAGGACCACTCATGACTAAATTATCTTTTATAGATTAACGGTAATTTATGGTCAAAGTTTTCAAAGTTTGACTCCAAAAATGACAATGGAGCAAATATAAAGGGACGGAGGGAGTAGGTGCTAGAGAACAAGGTGTTTAGTATATTCATACAAGCACTAGTTCTTTAAGACTTGCGTATTCAAAATGCATAAGCAAGAGTCAGTCATTCGTCAATCCAAATTTCCAATATTCAAGAATCATAGACTTTATAGTATGATTTAGAATCATTATTAGTGACTAAAGACTATCTTAATCTCTATAATTAGCAATTATACCAAATTTGTCAAAATATTCGTCAACCACATACTTCAAATCAACATGTACATCACCTTCCCCACTTCATATATGATCAAGATATTTTTTTTGTACATACAAATGATTCAATTGCTTTTTTACATTGCGCAAGTTTTTTGGATGTATAAAAAGGCTCAAAAGCCGATAAGATGGATGAGATAACAACCAAAATATTGAATCAGTACACTTAAGTGCTCTACCTATTTGTCTCTTGTTTTGTCAATGTGTTTTTTTGCTCAATTCAACGAGATAAATATAACTTTTTAAACAATTTGAGAATATTCAAAGGTTTATTCCTAACATCATCATCTTGCCCAAGCTTAAATCTTTGCTTTCATACACATCTTTTACAAGATAGTAATCACATTTAATTAATTGAAGTTGTTTAGAAAACAAGCAACTATTCTCTTGCATTGTACTAAGCTGGAGTTCCAATCACTATAATGAGCCACTAATACACATTTTCTTAGTCTTGAAAAACACTACAAGCAACAAGGGTTACAACTTACAAGAATTGTCTAATTAGGGGCAAAGGAGATTAGAAAGGACCATATTGATCCGCACAATAATTTTTACTAAAATCAACATTAAAAATGATACAAAACAAGCCCTTATTAAATAATAAATACGAGTATTATGCATCCCCCAGCAGTGCGAGCCTTGCCACAGTTAATATAAAAGAAATTGTACATTTATATGCAATTGTGCATAGATTGTCAATAATACATCATCATATCCCCCTTTGAAGGTTCTTGGCGTCACATCCAAATCAATTTCTAATACGTTGAATAATTGCATGATATCACAACTGCTTTTCATATATAGTGGTCCCTCCTCTCAATTCCAGAAACAAAACTTCAATTACTTAAGCAAATACTAATTAAACTAATTAAACCAGTTCCCTCAAAAAAAAAAAAATTAATTAAACCAATTATTACTTTGTCCATTTCATAATGACAGCATTTGATAGCTATTAAAGCCTACTAAGCATGATTAGTACTCCCTAATTTAATTTAATTTGGGACATGTTCAACAGTAATCAAGCAACCTTGTCCACTAGTTGTAGCCAATGAATTTAGTAGAAGGTTTAATTATAGCTCATAGTTTTGACACGGTTTAATATTAAATAAAGTAATCATACAAGTAAAATAATAAAAACTATAGGTTATAATTAAATGCTAGCTTAGTGTGAGTGTATTTTGAGTATATGAACCTTGTACTTTAGTGTGAATATAAGTAGCAAATATGGCACTTGTTATGTTGGGTGATGAAGACAAGGAGGAAATTTCCTTGCATGCCTAAAATGATTTCAAGATTTCAATTTACATGTGACAATGCTAGAAGAGGAAATTTCCTTTCCTATATGATTTCAACCTTTAATTTCAACTTTCAATTGATTTATGGAGGATCTTGATCCTATCCTTTTATCGATTTGATGTACATGTAGATCGATTTTGAGTTGAATGCTTATGCCATTATAATTCCAAGTATAAAGATTGAGGGGGGCCGTGGAGGGGTGTTATTCTACCTAATTTCTTTTTTTTTTTTTTTTCAATAAACTCTACAAATTAGCTAGTTTAGTTAACAAAATTGACAAATAATTGTATTGGGTATCAAATATTTGAAAGTCGTGTTTTAGTTCAATAAAGACTGATAGTGTGTATGGAACTATTATATACAAAATTGACGTTCAACTGATCCAGAAATCCCTGGTTTCACAAATACAAAGTACAAGGAATTAGTAGGAAATCCAAGATTGACATATTTTTTTGAGACATAATCACACTTGTCCATGAGAGAAAAATGAATATTGCCTAAACAAACATAATTCATTGTAGAGTAACATGAATTCCTGCTCTCTCTACCCAAAATAATACTACCTCCGTTTTTATTTAGTTGACACCATTATCTTATCAAGCTTGCCAACGCACTATTTTGACGATTAATATCTCTAATTCTCGACATTGTAAAATTATAAAAAGTGGATATTAATAAAATATACATTGAGACTATTCAAACAAGATTTCACTTGACTATATTTTATCGTAGCTACAATCACAGAAGCTAGTCAAAATGTAGTTTTGTGATTAGTGTAAAAGACAAATGATGTCAACTAAAAAAAAACGGAGGAAGTACTTTTTACTTAGTACTCCGTATGTGACAATTTTACTTTGTTTCATATAAATAGGCCATTTTCTAAAATTCTAGTATGTAAAATACAAGTATAAACAAGCTTCAACTTCAAGCAGTGATTACCAAGCATCTGTATTACAACTTCAAACAATCTCAGCTCACACAATGTTATACAGAATAAAAAGAATGGAGTAAAAACTTTGTGCCTCATAAATAAACGATTTTTTTGAATGCCGATTTTTTAGTACAAACATACAAAAACAAAACTTTGTACAAATGTGATAAATATAATTTACAACATGAAGCTTTTCCCTCCATAATTCCAAATATAATTTATGGAAAGGAAAATAAAAATTCACAATTTTTTTTTTCTTAGTTTCTGATATCCCAACTAAGGGATTTCTGATCCTTGAACTTGGTAGTCAATCCCCTGTAAATGCCCTCCAATACAGAATATACAGATGAATGTATGTGATCCTTTGCTCCAATTCTAGTTAGACGTCGAGGGTCTTTGCCATCTCTTCGTTTCATCCTACGAGCTGAGGATATATATGAGCCTAAGTTCATGAACACTCTAAGAATAATCACACGATGAACAAAAAAAATGATCCTGTTTTACGGGATTTTTGTTTATTTTCATACAAGAACATCTGCTCTTGACCCTCTAGGAGATCTGTATCCATCAATTTTTGCTCGTATTTCATCGATCACAAGTTTAGTGAGTAGTAGTCCTGCTATTAAAGCTGCTGTCATTAACATTGTGAAAACTGCATCCCAGCTTATGGCTGAGAAGTAACCTGTAAGCAAAGGTCCAATAGCAGCACCAATTGAGCCTGTACCATCTATAATCGCGGTGACAGTAGCAAGTGCCCTTGAGTTGCCCTTCAGTGATTTATGTGTTCCGAGATCAGCTGACACTGCAGTTGTGATTAAAGCATACGGTCCATTGACAAACATTCCGGCAATGAACATGAGGCCAATATTCATATACACATTGATGAATCCATAGCTTCTGTACATGTAGAGAGCCGGGATGGTAAAATATGTGAAGGAAGCCGCTGTTATTGCCCTGGCATCAAGTTTATCCGATACAAAACCAGCTAAAATTCCACCAACCACACCTCCTAAATCGAAGAAAGTTGACAGGTTTCCTGCTGTCTCGCTAGAAAGGTATTCTCCTCCAATTTCTGCAATGTACATGAAATTTTGTTATGATCCGGAACTTGCAGCATTATATAAAGTATTATGCAGACAAGAAAACTGGCAAGTCACAAATAGCAGCTTAAAATTCAACTCGATCAAAGAAGTAAGTACCTGTATAACTGATGTAAAAGGGAAGCCAATACAGGAAAGTATAAGCAACCAATTTCGCGAAGAACAGGCAAAGAGCATAATTGGCAACTCCAGGAATCTTCCATGCTTCAATGAATCCGACAGCCTTTTCCTCCTCGAGTGTTTCATGTTCAGCAATTGCTTCCAAGGGCATAAAGGGTTCGGCCAAGAAACCTTTCTTAGGAGAATCTGTTTCTTCATCACCCATATGCATCCCTACGGACAAGGGACTAACAGGCAACACGAAAAAAACAACCAAGCCAATGAACCCAATCATAAGACCAGGAACAAACATTGACCATCCCCACCCATACTTCAATAAGGCAGACGCGACCAAAGAACCAGTGATATTGCCAACTGAAGTATGCGCGTTCCAAATGCCCATGATCAAACCCCTGCCACCCTTTCCGAACCAATTTCCAACAATTGCAACAACCGAAGGCCAACCAGAGGATTGGAACACACCAGCAAGCATTTGTACAACCAAATAGTAGTAAAAATTATGAATGTTGAACCAATATCCCATTCCAAATAATGCTGTAAAAAATCCAGTTCCAATCATTCCAATGGTTAAAAACACTCTCAAATTCATTCTATCGCCGAGGTGCCCTGAGAAGAACATTCCTCCAGCATAGACTGCAAGAAAAGCCACATCAAGGTAACCGAGCATAGCCGTGCCATCACTCCCATTAAATGGCTCCCATCCACCATTGTTTGCACCCAATAATGTTACATTTCCATTAGATAAGTTAAGGTAATTTTTCTGCCATGGGTAGGATTTTAAGTCTAATGAAGGCGATGTTGGTGTTTGAGGATCAAGGGCACCCTTCACTATACTCGAGGTTTTACGGGTTACGTGGTATGTTGCATATGATAAGAATGTTACAATCAATACAAGTCCTTGGTAGGTATGGTATGAAAGTGATCTTTTCTTGAAATCTTCGATAACTCGAATCACATAAGGTCTTTCATCTTTGATCTCTAGGCTATGATACAGTTCATGAATTGAACCTATTGATGAACTCATGAGTAATGATCAAAAATGAGGAAAAAGCCAAAGTTTTTGTATTTGGGAAGATCTCTTCTTACAACAAACCAAGCAAGCTGTAAAACAAGAGACATAAAACCATGTTTTAGTGCACAATTACAATTAATTTAATTTATACTAATAAACTAATTAGTTATATATTCTTAATCCAACCTGTATTTTTTATTTTTTTTAAAAATCGAATAGTATTAAATTTCTAGTTTAAATCAATCAAATTGTTAAGTTCTAGCCACAAAATCTGATCAAGAATATACTGTGTAAAATATTTATATGATTTACCACCAACCTATTTTTTTTTTTTTTTTGACAAAATTTACCACCACCTTTAACTATTCATTACTATTTCAAAAATTGAAGATTTTTTATCAAGCCAAAACGTTATTAAGGTAACTTTTGAGGTAAAACATCCAAAATATCAGTCAACAAATTAAAGCAAAAAACTTATATTTTCAGCCTTATTAATTGCAACAGTAAGTTCCTCTGTTTCATGAATTATGAACTAACAGTCTAACACAACTTTTTTTTTTCTTTCTATTTTTTCATCTCAATTAGCAATTTTCTTAATAAAAATCAGAATTTCATCCCCCACTTCTATAATTTTTATTTTTATTTCTACACAATTGATAAAAATAATTCTGGGAAAGATAACTAAAATTAAATTAAACATTCAAAACAAAACCCAGAATTCTCTGATCAATTCCACGATTACCCATTATCTAATTTCATCCCCAAAACAAGAAAAACAGAAACTTTTAAGATTCAACGTAATTATAACTCCAGGAAAAAAAAAATCAATAAATCATTATAAAAAAAAAAAAACCCTTGAAGAATAAGGTAATATAATGAGTAAATTAAGCAAAATTACCTTAGGATGAGCTGATATATAGTGGATTGATAACTTGCCTTAAACTTTGAGATTATCAAGAAAATAATTTGGCAATTTATAATGTTTTCTCTCTCTTCTACCGAAGAATGAGTTTGGATATTGCAGCTTACTTCTTTTTACGAACAAGAAGAAGAAGTTCGTTTGAAGCGAGGCCGTTTTCTGTGCTAGACGTGGGCTACTTATAAATTGAATGTTAATTTTTTAATTTTGTTTTATTTTATCTTTTATAATTAAGAAATAATATTATATTGAATAAAAAACTATTTACATAGTTCTACAAAAAAAAAAAATTATCTATATAGGGCTCGGAATATTTCGGCAAGTCAGAAACGTTTTGTTCTATTATAAGTGGAGAATTGGAGAAGTTATTTTACGGAGTAAGTTATTTTTACTTTATTTGTTTTGACATTTACGTTATTTCTTATTTTGGAGTTTTGCTAAATCTCTTGTACTTTTATTACGGAGTATATACATAGTGTTTTTGATATATTGTCGTTTCAGTTAATAAGAGAGAGTCATCATCACAAGTATTGAATCAAAACATAGTAGTGTCTAAGATTTGTTGTAGTGAGATCATTAGTTTGGTCGACTTCTAAAAGACATGATAAATCGAGAAGGCTTCATCTTGTGAAGATTCATTTTGTATTATTTTTCACGGATTTTTATGTCTTGATAATGACATATAAATTAGTATTTAAAAAAAGTTCAAGTAGAAAGAAAAACGCACACAAAATTATACTTGTATTAATTGTGTTTTTGTAAAGTGGAAGAAATTTTTTTTTATTTCCGTGAAGCTTTAATTAATTGTTCGTATGTTTTCAAAAAAAAAAAAAAAAATTAATTGTTCATATCGAATTTAACAATTCTAACTTATGTGAAAGATTTAGGCTAAACTTTATCAAAAAATAGTTGACATCTATAAAATCCATAAGAAATATTTTGTCAATCACTATAATAATTATATGTAGACTTCTTTGCATAAGCTTATAAAGCAAAATTACATTTGATTGCATAAGAAAGTGACCTTTCCTCGGCTCTTAAAATTATTACAAATTTAATTTTACAATTACTTATACTTAATCTGATTATGGATTATAAAGAAAATAAAAATTGATATCTTAAGCACGTATTGCAAGACTCATTCAACTTCATATTCTGCATTGTATATTTGTATCATGTAATATGTACTCATATTTTTTCATATATACTAGTAACAAAATTAATTGATCCAAATTTTATAGGTAACAGAAAGATATTACAATAATAATAATAATAATAATAATAATAATAATAATAATATATCATACTAGTAATTTTCAAAACTTTAAACTAGTTACAAATTAGTGAATTACTTACAATCATTATTTTTAACTAAGAGAGATCGTTCTATGCAAGTGTGTTTATCTGAGGTGACAAAGAATGTCCGTCAAAAGATATGGCCCCGCCTAAAGGTGTCCACCGTGCGAGTCGTGCGAGCTGGGTTAGGGTTAGGTGGGTCGCGGGTTGGGGTTTCATGACACACGGCACGACACACGTAGGGTAGGGTGGGCCGGGTCGTGGGTTGGGTCGGAGAAGTTGGACACACCAGGGTTAGGTTCGTGGGTTAGACGAGTCGTGGGTGGGTCGAGCTGGGTTTGTGGGTTAGACGGATCGTGGGTGGGTCGAGCTGGGTTTGTGGGTTAGACGGGTCATGGGTGGGTCGAGCTAGGTTCGTGGGTTAGACGGGTCAAGGTGGGTTAGTGAGTTAGGGTGGGTCGAAGGGTGGGTTAGTGGGTTAGGGTCGGGTGGGTTTGTGGGTTAGGTGGGTTAGGGTCGGGTGGGTTAGTTGGTTAGGGTCGGGTGGGTTTGTGGGTTAGGTGGGTTAGGGTCGGGTGGGTTTGTGGGTTAGGGTCGGGTGGGTTCGTGGGTTAGGGTCGGGTGGGTTGTGTGGTGTTTTAATTTTTACAAAATTAACAATTTGATGGCTTGCTCTTAATTAAGATGCCTACGTATCCTTATATTATAAAATAAGGAATCAAAGCCAGCGTAGTTCTTATATTGTACTTCTTTTGAAATTTGGGGGGGGGGGCTTGGACCTATCTTTAGAAAACTAAAATTTAATTTTGCAATTAAATTGTAATTTTCGAAAAATAAGTTGCCTACGTATCCCGAAAGAATCAAAGCCCACGTAGTTCTTAGCGTACCTGATTTAGACTTTTCTAGCCACTCATGTTTGTTGCATCATCATCCCCGGAAGCTGCATCATCCGTTGACGACTCCAATATCATCACAGGATCATCTTCATCGTCTTCGTCTTCCTTTAAACCTTGAGTTCTTCTTTCAGCTTGATCCCAATCTTTCTTACAAACACAAATTTGAATGCTTTCCGGAGTTAAGCGAGATCTTTTTTCATCTAACACTCTTCTACCTGCACTAAAAGCAGACTCGGAAGCAACAGATGAAGCGGGAACTGCAAGTATATCTTTTGCAATTCTCGCCAATATAGGAAAACTTTTTTTATGTTCTTGCCACCATTTTATAATTTGAAAGTTGTTGTTGGTCTCATGTTGATATGACAAATAATCATTAATAGCAAGTGTTGAAGAAGATGATGATGAGAATGATGTAGATGCTTTGTGTTTTTTTTTCATAACTTTATCAAGAAAACCAAATCTAGAATCGGAAGTGCTAGTAGTAGTTGGTGTTGCCAAATCAAAACCATAAATAGATGCATAATGATCATAAAGGTCTCCCAAAACAGATTTGCATTTGTTAATATATTCACTAACATCATAATCGATACTTAAACTTGTATAATAAAATTCTAAAAGATTTTCCAAACCTTCAGCTTTGACACCGGGGTCAAGAATAGCAGCAATTCCATAAATGATTGGAAATTCACTAAAATAAGTATGCCACTTACGTTTCATGCTATCAAGAACGGGACGAAGTCCATCAATCTTCATATGCTCTTCGATGGTGTGAACAACTTTAACACACTCAATTATGACTAAATGAACGTTAGGCTCATAAATATAAGAGAAAATATGAGTTGCACTATCAAAAGCATTTAAAACATCACGAACAAAAGAAGCATTAGTCCAATGACTTTCGGTTATTAACTCAGTAGGATCAACACGAGTCTCATTGTAAAGTTGGGTCAAAATATCACGATACTTTATAGCATCACTCAACAACTTGAAAGTAGAATTCCAACGGGTAGGGGTATCAATAGACCATTGTCTTTTCTTAAGACCTCTCTCTTTACACATAGCTATGTACTTTCTTTTAACTGACTGAGTAATCCTAATCCATTTTATAACTGTTCTAATTGGGTTTAGCAATGGTTGCAACTCAGCGAGACCCTCTTGAACAGACAAATTCAAAATACGAGCACAACATCTAACATGCAAGAGACTACCACCCAACAACAAATTCAACTCGGAGTCATTTTTCAAATAGTCAATACACTTTGTGTTTGCAGTTGCATTATCAAGAGACAAAGAAAAAACTTTATTATTCAAGTGAAATTCTTTTAAACAATCCAAAATACGAACTTTGATGTTAAAACCGGTATGCCTTTCTTCCATAGCTTGAAAACATAGTATACGTTTTTGAATAAACCAATCATCATCCACCCAATGAGCAGTAATGCAAAGAAAAGGTTCGCCAAAACTAGAAGTCCATGTATCACTTGTAAAACTAACACGACCATCAAAAGTACGAAATAATTCAATCAAACCACTCCTATACTTATAATAAGAAGTTTGTGTATAACGTCTTAGGGTATTTCGGGGGACACGAGTAAATGCAGGTTGTAATGCAACTTTATTAAAATGCTCAACGTTTGCATTTTCACCGTAACTAAAAGGGTATTCATTAGCAATAACTAAAGTACTCATTTCATCAATCATTCTATCTTTATTATAAATGAAAGGTGTACCTCCGCCGGGTTGGTTCATGTATCCACCCAATTGTGTTTGGACGCCACCCCCCGAAGGACGGGGGCCATTTTCGAACAAGTCGTGTTTATTTTGCAAATGCCGACTCAAGGTTCCGGTTCCATCTCCCGTTTTCCAATTATATGACTTGACATTTGCACCTAGCGCCTTGCAAACTAGGCATGTACACGTGAACCTCTTTGGTTGACCCAGGTTGCCATCCCGGGGGTGTGACCTCAACTCGTTCAAAATGTTTCCACACCCAAGAAAAATGTGCTCGACCTCTACTTTCACCGCCACCACCTTTCATAAATCAAATTATTAAAATTAATTTTTAAATGCTATTCATGAAAATAAGCTTTTAAATTTTAAATATTTTAATTATACTTATTTAAACGCATTTTTCATGGTAATTAACTAATTGTAAATCATAGAAAATTGGAAACTAAACTAACTTTATAATCATTAATAATAGTTTTTTTAAATATTCATAACAATAAAAATTTAATTAGAAATTACCTTGAGATGAAGGTTGAGATGTTGGTTGCGATGGAGGTGGCATAGTTGAACTTGATGATTGGTGGGACTCGTGGGAGAAATGTTGTGGTGGAGACGTTTGAATATTTTGCCTATCTCCTAAACCATAATCTCCATATTCATTGACAAATTGGTTTAAATTTTCCGTATTAATTTCATACGAAAAATTTGCACCACCACTCCTTTGGCTACCACTTCGACCACCACTTTGACTCCTTCCCATTCCTCCTCTTGAGCTCATTTTTTTTTTGTATGATTACTAATTATAATATGGAGAAGAACTTTTTTTTTTTAGAATCTTAAGAATACTAATAATAATATTAAGGAGATTTTTTTTAACAAAAATATAACTCTATATAACACTTGAGAATTTGAGAACAATAAGAATTTTTAAGTAAGAGAGAAAGAAAGCTTGAATTTGTGTGGAAATTTGAGTGAAATGGAATTGGTATTTATAGGAAAAATAGAATGGATGATCATACACTTAAAAAACTAGCCGTTAGATACAAAAAACTAGCCGTTAGATACAAAAAACTAGCCGTTTTTTTTTTTAAAATGGATGTTAGGCCGTGCGGGCCGTGCGGGTCGTGCGAATTGTGCGGGCTGTGCGGGCAGTGCGGGTTGTGCGGGCCGTGCGGGTTGTGCCGGCCGTGCGGGTTGGGTGGGTCATGCGTGCGGGTTAGGTGGGTTGGCTCGTGCGGGTTGGGTGGGTCATTCGTGCGGGTGGGCCGTGCGGGCTGGGTTGTGCCAGGTGGGTCGGGTTAGGTGGGTTCACGGGCTAGGTGTGTCGAATTAAATGAGTCAAAACGGGTTGTGCGATTTGGGTCGAATCAAACGGGTTAAACTGAGCTGGGTTGAAATGGGTTGTGTCGAAAATTTTGGACCCACGACACAACCCGGATTAAATCCGAGCTGTGCCGGGCTGTGCCGGATTGAAACCGGGCCGGACCCACGTGACCCACCAGCCGTGCGAGTTAGGGTGGGCTGGGTCCAACCCGGCCCACTGGCCACCTCTAGCCCCGCCCAATCAAAGGGTGAATTGGAATATGCTTATGTATTGGTCCGCATCTATTTTTTCAACAACGAATATGCTTTTTATATCCCAATTTTCCACCTATTTTCTTGGTTTATTTTGCTTCATCCATCTAAATTTAACCTTTTTTTTTTTGGGACAAGGTATATAAAATTCTATTGGATTGCTCTTTTTAAAGACTCAATAAGAAACTAATCTTAACACACTAAACTCATTTCGACCTCCTTTTTTTTTTCTATCCCTTCTTAGAGGAGGACTTGATCTCTAGTCTTGTCATTGAAAACGAGAGTTCTACCAA